TGGGCTGTTAAGTCTCCAATGTGTGCCTTCTCTGTTTTCTTTAAGTGGGCACTTAGTGCTATGAACTTTCCTCTCAGGACTGCTTTCATAGTGTCCCATAAGTTTGAGTAGGTTGTTTCTTTATTTTCATTGAATTCAAGGAAGACTTTAATTTCTTTCTGATGTCTTGGTCCAGTCTTTGCTGTGAATGAGTCTCTGGGTGTATCTTTTCAGTGTAGAAGCAGGGACCGTCCCGTTGAGCTGGAACTCCTCAGCACCCAAACATGGAATACCGTCCAGATGGAACTCCTCAGGACCACTCTGGGTGGGTTGTGGATGCAAGCCTGATGTCTCTCCTGGTGCCGGGTTCAGATCTCTGTGCTGCTTGGGTGGCTCGTAAACAAAGGACCTACCTAGCTTGCTGCAGGCAGGCTAGTGGGGACAAAGGAGCTAACACCCTCCCGTTTGCCCTGCCGATTCGGATTCGGTCCTAGAGCCCAAACAGGCTGGGCTGGGAGATGTTATGTGGTCAACGAGGGAAGGGAGTAATATGGAGGGGGGGAGGGATGTGGATGCAAGCTGGGTGGGATAGGAAGAGAGAGGGGGTATCGGGCAGAGTAGCCCCTGAGGATGACCAGGAAGTGTAGGAGGGGTGTCTGAGTTCCCTGTCCTGGGCTGCTGCCCCGGTCAGAAACTCACTCACCCCAGTGATGTCTCTCCTGGTGCCTGGACCGGATCTCCAAACTCTGAATTTTTAAAAAATATTTTTTTTTTTTGCTTTTTTGCAAACTTTTGTGCAAGTATACTTTGATCCTTGGTTACACCTCCCTCCATCCTGTTCCCCTTCCTTTTCCCTTTCCCCCACATGTGGATTTCCTTCCTAACTTTCTGTTTAGCAACAATGTTATTATTAATGGTGCTGACATAAGAAACTTGAGGCCCACAAATGTTAACTGACAAGTGTGTATTGAGCTCATCTCTCTTCTAAGAGCCAGAAAACTCCAAGCCACGAAGCAGACACATGTAGGAGTTTGAAAGGAACTTAATTTCAGTTCTGCATTGCTTATTGTATCAGAAAAGAGAGAGCATAGGCTGTGTGTGTGGAGCCAATCCACAAAGAGGCCCCGAGTCACTAGAGTTTCCATGCATCTCCCAAATGAATGATTTTTTTACAAACTCAGTGTCTTTGAAAATGAGTGTTTGGAATTTTTGAATACATTAAAATGTATAGTTCAATGACATAGCTTTTGCTTGTCACCCTTCTTGGCTCTTCACACAATACAATGAAAATGTCTGGATTGTCTGATATATCTTTCCTCCTGTCACTCATTAATGTCAGCTTTCTATTCGTTGGAGAACTTTCACACAAGGGTTTTTATTTTTAATTTTTCTTAGTAATGTAATAAGACACATGAGTTTTTAAATAACTATTTTTGGCATAGCAACAATGTCATATAAAAGTAGACAAGATTTCTTTTTTTTCTTCTAGTCTGAGTATAACACTGCCTATTTTTATGACATCTATGTTATAATTGTTAGTTAATTTATCAATGACCCATAAAATCACTTTGAACATAAAATGAGGAGTAAATGTTTACAGATATAACGCTCTCTTCAAGTAAGGTTGTCTTTACAATGGAAATGTGATTAGCAATAGCTGTCAGTGCTAAAAGCTTTTCAGAGACTTAAAAATGTTCTGTCCATTTTTTCCTTGAGCTTTTCATAGACCGTTAGAAATGCAAGGTCTTAAAAACAGTCAATTTAGTTCACATTCATCAGTTTATAGATAAGAAAATAAAGTCTGAGAAATTTTACTGCAACTTAACTATTAGGAGAAAAAAAATCACAGAACTGAAACCTGTGACTCTTAACTCATGGTCCTTTTACAGTGCTGTGGTTATTATCTCTTTATTACATATTGATATAAGCTGATAGTCATCTTGGAAAAGCTTACATATTAATTTAGCAGAAATTAACATCAGACTTTAATGTCTTATACTTTTAATTACCACTTTGGCCAATGTGAATTTTCTACTAATTTTATCTTTCAGATGGCCTTAATTTGAGAAAAATGATGCTACAGAATTTTTTAAATAGATGAAAATGCGGTATAATGTTATTGCACTAAATAATTGCTTCAAAATTTTATTTTTATATTCTAGCTTTAATATAATTGAAATAACCATAAACAGGCAATTATATGGATAAGCTGTGCATAACTACTTAACTTATGTTACTCAATTTAATATTATACTAACAGCATTGCAAATAATTCTTGTGCACTAGGATCTATTATATTAGAAGTTGTGAGTCGCTGGGCTGGAGCAACTGCTCAGTGGGTACAGGTCCTTGAGACTTAAGTCTGACAACCTGAGTTCCATCCTTGTAACCCACTTGGAGATAGGGGAGAGAACTGACCTCCACAAAGGACCGCACACGTCATACACAGATAGAACAAAACAAGAACACGAATATTACAGTTTAAGGATAACTTGCAATGAGTACAAGATATAGACACTTAAGTTGTTGTTAGCAATTCCTTGTGACGTCCTCGAAAGGTCCGCAACTATTTTTTTAATGCAATTCATAATGAACTTCCACTGAGGAGAGTAGGCTGCATCTGTTTAGCTGATCATTATTTTTCTGTTCACCTACCCCAATTATTGGCATAAAATAAAAACTTAAACACATTCAAATTGATTGTATACATACATGTGAAATTAAGTTCTTAGTTCAACCTATATAAATAAATAAGTGTAGCACTGTATATAAAATGATGAATAACAAAAATCCTATAATAATTGCAATTGATAAAATATCTTTGACAAATTTAGTATCCATTCCTTCATGATTAAAACCTTTGAGAAGATCAGAAGTAGAAGAAATACCCCTCACCACAATGAAGATTACAGAAAACAAACCTAATAGCGTTCTGCTAAATGAGAATTACATGAAAGCAGCTCCTCTATATTCAAGAATGAGATGTGGATGTCCACTCTCTCTGCTCTTATTTGACACATTGTTCAAAGCTTTGGGCAATAAGACAAGAGAAGAAGCAGCAGAGAAGCCAGTAGGAAAGAAGATGTCCAAGTTTACTTATCTGAAGATGAACGCTACTTAAAACATACCAAAGACTCCATTGCAAAGTCTCAGAGCTAGTAAATGCCGTCCAGGCAGAAGCAGACACAAGATCAGCATACACTGAACAGCAGATTTTAAATATTTCAATAATAAACTTGCTGAAAAGAAATCAGGAGAAAAATCCTACTTGTAATAGTTCAAAAAGTAGGGATAAGAATAAGGCTCTATGAATAAACCCAATTAAGGAGGTAAAAGACTTCTATGTAGAAATCATCAAAACACCAAAGAGAAAAATTAAATAATACAGAAGAAGATTGGAAAACTTCCCATGATCATGGGCAGGGGGAATTTATATTGTGAAAATGGTTATATTACTGAAGATAATCTACAGGTTCAATGCAATCCCATTAAAATTACAGTGACATGCTGCATACGACTAGAAAAACCTACCCTAAAATTTATATAAAACACAAAACCCTCAGAATAATCAAAGAGCATTGTAGAAGACATCAAAACCTCTGGCCACAACCCTCAACTGAATAATAACATTGCAGAGTCTTGGTAAAGCTGGCATATGAATCTCTCTCTCTCTCTCTCTCTCTCTCTCTCTCTCTCTCTCTCTCTCTCTCTCTCTCTCTCATACACACACAGACATACACCCACACATACACACACATATCCACACATTTTCCCATGCACATACACATACATACACATATCCACATGCCTATACACACATACACACTCACAGACCAAACAAAGAAACAAAAACTAAAACCCATACTCCCACCCACAAAAAAAAAAAAAACCGTAAAGCCCAACTAAACAAACCCAGAAGTATAGACCAAGGGAATAGAATAAATCACCCAGAATAAACTTACAACACTATAGCGACCGAGTCTTTGGAAAAAAAAAAAGCCGAAAACATATATTTGAGGAAATACAGCCTCCCCAACAAATGAAACTAGCAAAACTACATGTATACATGTAAACTACTAAAATGTAATTCCTGTTTCCTCCCTTCACAAATAGCAGTCAGAGTGGACCAAATACCTTAAAGTCTGAAGCTGCCAGAGAAAATCTCAGGCAAACATTTCACAGGGTAGGCAGAGAGGGAACTTTAGTAGCATAGGATGTATCCCAAATATTTAAAAATGATATTGCCTGAATTTGAATAGCTTCTATGGAGCAAATGAAACCATCATTTTGGGGAAGCCAGCCTACAGAGTGGAAGAAAAATTTTTATCAATGATATAGGATCGATACCTATAAACTATATAGAAACTATAAACTATAAAGAAATTAAAGTAAGCACCATCAAAATCAAACCATTCAAATGTTTTCAAAATAAGAAATGTAAATGGCTAGTAAATATTTGAAAATCTCTCCCTATCCCCAACAATTAGGGAAACGCAATGCCAACAGCACTGTACGGCCAATTATGTCCATGTAATCGAGGGCAGACATGAGGGTGTGCACAAACAGGAACCTTACATGCTGCTAGTACTAATGTCAACTTTAGAGCCACCGTGGAAATCAGTATGGTGGCTTCTTGTTTCGGCATGTTTTCATGTTACTAGCAAAAAAATTACTACATGATACAGTTTACTATTCCTGGGTATATACCTGGAGGATTCCCAATGAGCATATCACAAAGATACTGGTACACCCATGCTCACTTTTAAGTGCTATTCACCAAGGCTAATGTTTGGGACTGGCTTGGAGATTCATCAAGAGAAACATGAAAAATAGAAGTGTGGTATGTGCACACAATGGTGTTTTGTTAAGCTGTAAAGAATGGAATATACAGGAAAATGAATGGAACTAGAGAACATTATATTGAGTGAAATAAAACAGACGTGGGCAGAGAAACATCACATTTCTGTCTATGTGGAATTCATATGTCATTTCTACCTCTATCTTCTATATGTATCAATTATCTATCTATCCATCCATCAATCATCTATCTATCTATCTATGTATCTATGTATCTATCTATCTATCTATCTATCTATGTATCTATGTATGTATGTATGTATGTATGTATGTATGTATGTATGTATCTATCTATCTATCTATCTATCTATCTATCTATCATCTATCTATTTATCTATCTATCTATCATCTATCTATCTATCTATCTGTCTGTCTGTCTGTCTGTCTGTCTATCTGCATCATCTATTATTCTAGCAGAAATGGAACTATGAGAGAAAAGAAAAGGAAAAGGGCATCACAAGAAAGGGAAGGTAAGATGAGAGAAAGAAGGAGGGCACATCTTTCCCCAGAACACAATAATATATACATATGAAAGTGAAAGTACCACAGTAAACCCATTTCTTTGCATGCTAACTACTTAAAAGAAAAATAAATGAGAGATACCACTCAGAAGACAAATGAAAGGAAAAGAAAAGAAAAGAAAAACTAGCTGCTTTGCCATTCATGGGTTCCTCTGTTAGCATTAACAAGTTGTTTGTTATCCTATGAGAACTCTATCATCAGTGGAGAAAAAAGTACCATCCTCAGTAGGATTTTTCCCACATATGTAAAAAGTACTTGGTACTGAAATTTCTTTAACATTTTCTTTACAGTGGGCATGTCCTGCTAAAACCAAAAGTCAATTGCATCTAATGTATGTAACACCTGAACACTCTGTCTTAGTCCACTCTCCCTCACAGGCACCCAGAGCATTTCCCTAGCTTTACACCAACAGTCCTAGGCCTATCATCGTAAACATGGAGGAAATATGTTTCCCATTTCATTGAACTGATGCCGTGGAAATAACTAATGCCGAACTTTAGAGGTTATGCTTTAGCATCACCATTAACTCAAACATTGTTAAGCTGCCCCATTGTCATCTGAGTGTCTATGTGAAAAAGGTCACTCATTATGTGATTGTGATAATGATAAAATTGTGAGTTTATACAAGAAATGGTGTCAGTTTTCATTTAATAACCTTGGACATTATCATTTAAAATATTTTGACATGAGTCAGAATAACAGGTGAATTACCTTTCTGCCAGATGAAATGCTCTTCTCCCTAGGTGCAATTCCTAAAAACCCATCCCACTGCCCTCTCCCACTACACCACCAGCCCTTTGGTCAGCTCCTACCTCCAATGCCAATAGACTTCTGCTGCCCAGAAGCAGGGCACACCACTCACAAGAACAGGTGTGGGTCACACCAGTAAGAAGAACAGAAACCCCCTGCTGTACCTAAAGCCACTCTAGAGGACAGAAATCCAGGTCCCAATATGAACAAAGACTTCCTGCTGAATCAGAGGTCATACTGGCTACCAGAAATCTAGACCATGAAGACCAGAAGACAAAAAAAGAAAGAAAAACCAAGGAACAAAACACTAATTCAACAAAGACAAACTCAGAAATCAATACCTAGACCTGTAATCATCCCAAACTGTTGAGATAGGAGCGGCGGGGCTGCGTCCCCGGCACCCGGCCGCCCGCATGGCTAGCTTATGCCCAAAATAATTACACGGAAACTGTATTCTTTCAAACACTGCCTGGCCCGGCTAGTTCCAGCTTCTTATTGGCTAGCTCTTACATATTGTTCTAACCCATTTCTAGTATTCTGTGTAGCCCACAAGCTGGCTTACCAGGGAGGATCTTAACCTGCGTCTGTCTGGAGCGGGAGAATCATGGCGACTCTCTCACTAAGCTTCTTTCTCCCAGAATTCTCTTCTGTTTTCTCCACCCACCTAATTTTCTGTCCTATGAGGGCCGAGGCAGTTTCTTTATTATTACAAGACCCACCTCCATCACCAAACCCAGATGCCTAAATGCCAGCATAAGAATACAATCAACACCAGAAAGGACACAGAAAGTTACCGCCACAGCCCCACTATCCTACAACAGCAAGACCTGATTATTCCACTGCACCTGAAACACAAGACAACAACCTTAAAATCAACATTATGAAGATGATAGAGATTTTTAATGTGGAAATGAAAAAAATTCCTTTAAAAATTGAGGGAAAGAAGAACAAATATTTGGGGAAACCAATAAATCCCTTAAAGAAAAACATTTAATTCGAGTGACTCACAATTTCAGAAGTTCAGTCCGTTGTTGTCATGATGGGGAGCATGGCAGTTTGCAGGCAGACATGATGCTGAAGCTGACAATGCTACATCTTGCAGGCAACAGGAAGCCAACTGACATCTCACTGAGGGAAGCTGAAGCAAAAGAGACCTCAAAGTGTCCCCCCACAGTGACACACTTCCTCCAACAAGGCCACACATGCAAATAGTGCCACTTCTTTCAGGGGCCATTTTCTTTTAAACCACCACAAGATGCAAGCATCACCAACAGAATACAAGAGTTTTGAGAGAGAATCTCAGGCACTGAAGGTACAATAGAAGAAATAGATTCATGGGTTAACGAAAATGGTAAATCTAAAAAAAAAAAAGACACTAATACAAAAACATCTAGGAAGTGAAGCACAAAATCTTAAGATAAGACTCTCAGCTCAAAAACTCAGAGGCTGGCTGATCTCTGTGAGTTTGAGGCCAGCCTGGTCAAAAAGAGATAGTTTTAGTATAGGCACCAAAGCTACACAGAGAAACCATGCTTTGGAAAAACAACAACAACAAAACAAACAAACAAAAAAGAAAAGCAAATACACTGAACAAATATAGAAGAAAATTTTTTAAACTAAAGAGGGAATACATATAAAAATACTAGAAGCTTACAGAATGCCAAATAGATTGGATGAGAAAAGAAATCCACTGTACCACATAATAATCAAAACACTAAATGTAAAGGACAAAGAAAGAATATTAAAAACTTCAAAGGAAAAATGCCAAGTAACATATGAAGTCAGATATATTAGAATTCCACCCAGCTTCTCAATAGAGATTCTAAAAGCCAGAAGAGCCTGGACCAGATGTCTTACAGACATTAAGAGACGAATGGATGCCAGCCAGACTATCATACCCAGCAAAACTTTCAATCAGTAAAATGGAGAAAAAAAGATATTTCATGACAAAGTCAAATCTAAACAATATCTATTCACAAATAGAGCCCTACAGAAGGTACTGGAGGGAAACCAAAGCCCAAGGAAGTTAACTATATCCATGGGGGAAAAAAGGCAATAAATAATCTCACATCAACAAAACCCAAAGAAAGAAACACACACACACAGACACACATACACACACACACACTCCTCTACCACCACCATCACCAACAAAATAACAGTAATTAGCAATTCTTGGTCTTTGATATCTCTCAAATATCAAAGGACTCAATTCTCCATAAAACGACACAGGCTAACAAAGTGATATTAAAAACAAGATCCATCCTTCTGGTGCATGCAAGATACACTCCTTCATATCAAAGACAGACATTAACTCAGAGTAAATGGTTGAAAAAAAATTTTTTTCAATCAAATGGACCTAAGAATCAAGTTGTAATCACTATTCTGATATCTAACAAAGTATTACCAACCAAAATTATCAAAAGAGATGGAGAAGAATATTTCATACACAACAAAGAAACAATCCACCAAGATGACAATTAAGTTATGAACCCACATTGTAAAGGAACTATTACTGAAGCTTGACTCACACATTAAATATCACATATTAATAGTAAGAGACTTCACACATTGCTTTCACTAATGGACAGGTTATCCAGACAAAAAGCTAAACAGAGAAATAATGGAGCTTACAGATATTATGAATCAAATGGACTCAACAGATATCTATATTTCACCGAAACACAAAATATATACCTTCTCAGTACCTCATAGAACCTTCTTGAAAATTGCCTACATGCTTGTTCACAATACATGTCTGAACAGATATAAGAAAATTGAAATAATCCCCTATGTCGTATCAGACCACCACAGATTAAAGCTGGATTTCAACAACAGAAACAACAGAAAAAGGAAAAACTCACAGTAATGAAACAACTCCCTACTGAATAACTATGGGGTCAAGGCAGAAATAAGAAAGAAATGAATGACTTCCTAGAACTCAATGAAAATTAATACACAATCTACCAAAATTTATAGGATGCATGAAAGCAGTCTTAAGAAGGAAGCTCATAGCCCAAAGTGCCTACACAAAGAATTTGGAGAGATCTCATACTAGCAACTTAACAGTACACATGAAAGTTCTAGAACAAAAAAAGCAAACACATCCCAGAGGAGTAGATGGCAGGAAATAATCAAACTGAGGGTTGAAATCAATAAAATAGAAACAAAGATAACAATAAAAAGAGTCAATGTAGTAAAGAATTAATTCATTGTGAAAATCATTAAAAATCAGGTAGGAAGTAGAGGCAAAGCTACGAGAATTCTGGGAAGAGGGAAGTTTCAGTCTGCAGTCACTACCCAGACAGAGAGGAAGTCAGGCACAAAGCAAGCAAGATGCTAGTGCCTTGTGGAAAAAGACACCAAACCACATGGCTAATATAGACAAGAATTATGGTCTAAAATAAGTTAAAAGAGTTAATAAGAAGCCTGAGCTAATTGGGGACTTAACAGCACACCTGAAAGCTTTAGAAAAAAAGAAGCAGAGGTGCCCAGAAGGAGTAGAAGACTGGAAAT